GAATGGCATCACTGCACCATAGATGCTCCATTCATTAAAGCAGTGATCCAGAGCATAATTCATCTACTGCCTACAGGGGAAATACAGCTAGTCAGTATACTCTCGAAGATGCCCATGTAAACTCTAATCCTCTTAGTGAGTACTGTGGTAGAGCCCACTACATCTAATTGGGCAATACACCTGGCGATACACCATATTTATCTTGGTATTTTCAGTTGCAAGTCGAGCCACATCTGTGATGTCACAAGCATTTTTAAAAAACAGACTGATCAATATAAAATGCAAAGACAGGGATCTTATTCCCATTTGAAAACATGCAGCTGCACAATGTTACTCCTCAAAAACACTAGTCAGCCACAGGCTTTTATGGAGTGCTGTAAGTTTAGTTCATTCAAAACACACCTAAAACACATTAAACATGGCTTAATAGCTACAATTTCAAACACACAATCAGCTTCACTTTAACTCGCAGCATTTACAGACAAAGCACCTGTCTTCCATTGGACACATTTTCCACACAAATACTACATTCTAATGTTTTAGCACAAGCCTATGGCATTCTAAATCGTATAAATTAAACCCCATTTCAATCATCATAAATCTCAACTGCCACAATAATTGCCAGGGCAGAATTTTCCTACTATGAACGGATTAGCAAAGTACCCACCGTGGGTTTTTGGGGGGAACCAGGTATGGCCATATAATAGCATTGTTTCATAAATTAGGTGTCTGTGCCTTATTTCTTGCTAAGTCATTCATACAGCTGGCAGTGGTCTTTTGTGGTCTTCTCATTTGCTACTTCTCTATCAAATCTTGGTTATAGTTTGTCCTATTGCTTACCTTCACCATATTTGATGCAGTCACAGTCATGCATCAGCCATTTGCCATTTCTGTTTGGTTGTCACATCTCTGTGCTACGATATATATGCTTGCTGTTCAGACCTCTTTTCCTTGCACTCTGATTCCAATTCTGTCTGCCTTGATTCAGTTTGGCCTGCTGTCATTTGTCACGTGTTCCCACAACACACATGGTCTCATTCCGTATGCACAGTCATCCATGGTCCTCTAACTACATGCTGCATGCACTAACGCCGGCTTGTCTTCGGGACTCCACGCAAATGCACAATCACGGTGTATAGGACCTCATGCTGTATGCACAAACACCATGGTCTTCAGGACCTCATGCAAATGCTCCATCATGGTCTGTGGGACCTCGTGCCATATGCACAGGTGTGTGCATGGTCTTCTAACTATATGCTGCATACACTAACACCGACCTGTGTGCTAATTGCTCACCTTTATCACTTATAATCCACTATCATGCATCACCCATGATTATGTCCTCTGGGTTATCCTATCACAATTTTTGCCTTGCTGATTTATTATCTGCTGGTCTTGGGACCTATACTGCTTTACTCATTTATTCAAGTTGGTCATAAATTGACATAATTCTATTGGTTCAATAACTTTTATCTTGCTTGCATTTATCATGCTGCTCACTCAATTATATGGCCTTCGGGATCCCACGCAAATGCACAATCACGGTGTGTGGGACCTCATGCACAAACACCCATGCTCTTTGGGACTTGATGCAAATGCTCTATCTTGGTCTGTGGGACCTCATGCTGTATGCTCTAATACCCATGATCTTTGGGACCTCATGCAAATGCTCCATCATGCCATATGCACCAATACTCAAGGTCTCCGGGACTGCCCTCTGAATGCTCATACATGGTCCGTGGGACCCCATGCAACACTTAATTTTTGTTGGTCGCGCGACCATTAATTTCTGTTTGTTATGCGGACTTGCGGACTCAAACACAGCTGTAAGACCTGATATATATTTAGATAGCTTCTCCCAGATTACTTTTCAACAACTGACCTCAATGATTTCTTCATCCAAGTCATCAACGTGTCTCTTAGACCCCATTCCTACTAGGCTACTTAAGAAAGTCTTACCTTAAGTTTAAAACTTACATATTAGACACGATCAGTATATCTCTATTAACAGGCTATGTACGACAGTCCTTTAAGGTAGTTGTAATTAAGCCTCTCCTAAAGATTCAGAGGTGTTAGCCAACTATAGACCAATATCTAATATTCCCTTTCTTTCAAAATTCCTTGAAAAAGTAGTCGCAGACCAGTTGTGCGACTTTCTCCATGATAATTATTTATTTGAGGAATTTCAGTCAGGATTTACAAGTAAAATTTACAAATGATCTTCTGATCGCCTCAGACAAAGGACTCATCTCTGTACTTGTTTTATTAGATCTTGGTGCCGCATTTGACACAAGTGACTATCAAATTCTACTACAGAGACTGGAACATTTAATTGGCCTTAAAGGTTCTGCACTATGCTGGTTTAAATCTTATTTATCTGATCGATTTCAGTTCGTTCACGATGAATCATCTTTACATACTCAAGTTTGTTTTGCAGTTCCGGACCAATTCTATTCACTTTATATATGCTTTCCTTAGGTAACATCACTAGAAATCACTCTGTAAATTTCCATTGTTATGCGGATGATACACAACTGTATTTATCAATAAAGCCAGAAGAAACGGATCAAGTAACTAAACTTCAAAAATGCCTTAAAGACATAAAATCCTGGATGAGCTCCAAGAAACTAGAAACCTCGGAGTAATATTTGATCAAGATTTGTCTTTTAACTGCCATTTAAAACAAACCTCACGGACTGCGTTTTTTCATTTGCTTAACATTTCAAAAATTAGGCCTATCCTGTCCTAAAAAGATGCAGAAAAATTGGTCCACACTTTTGTTACGTCTAGGATTACTGTAATTCCCTATTATCAGGTAGCTTTAATAAGTAGTGATGGCAGAATGAAGCCTCATGAATCATTTCCTTTATTTTCTAAGCCCACTAGATGCTGCTTTTTGTTCAACAAAAGGTTTAAAACACACCAGATTTCCACTGTTTATCCTCTCTTTGAACCAAGAGCACCATCTAGTGGGCTCAGAAAAACTGAAAACTCTCCAGCTAATCCAGAACGTGGCAGCACGTGTACTGACAGGAACTAAGAAACGAGATCACGTTTCTCCTGTTTTAGCTTCTCTGCACTGGCTCCCTGTAAAATCCAGAATTGAATTTAAAATCCTTCTCCTAACTTATAAAGCTCTAAATGGTCAGGCTCCGTCATATCTTAGAGAACTCATAGTGCCCTATTATCCCACCAGAGCACTGCGCTCTGAGAATGCAGGGTTAGTCGTGGTTCCTAAAGTCTCCAAAAGCAGAACGGTAGCCAGAGCTTTCAGCTATCAAGCACCTCTTCTGTGGAATCATCTTCCTGTTACGGTCCGGGAGGCAGACACCATCTCCACATTTAAGACTAGACTTAAGATTTTCCTTTTTGATAAAGCTTATAGTTAGTATCAGTGAGAAATTGTGGAAAGTCTAACAGAGCTGACAATGTGAAGCATGTCCATACTGACAAAAGTTTCAACATGTCTATCTGTGCAGCTAACTGCCGCTAGCTGACAGGCAACAATAAGACCTGCATTTATTTGTCAAAATGCATGGCTGTACTCACAGTTTGATTGTGAATCGGCTTTTATCATACGTTTTATGGAAAATGTACATGCTTTTTTTTTTTACTTTGAGCTCTGTTACATGGAGGCCATTCACAATATTGTTACTAAACACTGTAGTTATACAGCTTAGGAGGTATCTGTGTGATGAAAGGACGTTGTGTGTGTCTGTCTCTACATGTGTTTGAATACGTATGTTTGGTCTGCTGATTTTACAGGGAGGGGACAACACTGTTAAGCGTTTTAGATGTTGACTATGGTTGGGTACCGAAATGTGGTACTGATTTAGCCCCGGGGCTAAATAATGAAAGACCGTAGTATTGATAAGCTCTGATGGTATATTCTTTTATCGGTACTTCTACACATTATGGTTTAATTCATTATCATCCTGCAGCCTCTCATCTACGCTCTGTGCTGGGGCTGAACTGCTCCACACACAGACATATCCACACATACATGTACACACCTACACTACACGGTAATCTGTGCACAGCCGAGCGGCCGCGGTGGATACAAAGTGAAGATAACTCAAAAATTACTCGAGTTGACGGCAACTAAAATATATAGCTAAAATGACAGCTGTTACATGTTGTGCATTGCATTTCAAATAAAAGTCCAAAAAATAAGTCCAAGGTCCATTTTTGGTATTTTTTGTACTCACTATAGGGGACTGGTTTACTCCAGAAACATACATACTGTTGATGTGTATGTTGAGGAGCTGCTGTATCAAAATGAGTTATCCTCCCCCAGAAATTAGGGTTACGATAAGTTTCTTTTATGATTCCAATCCATTCCTCTTTTGCTGTGGCTCAGCATTTGAATAACCTTTATCAGATTTGATGGTTTAGTCACAGACTTTCCCAAAAAGTGTTGTGCTTTTCTTTCACAAATGTGGGAATGAAATTGCATTAAAATGTACAAAACAGTGAAATTTATCTTGCCTGGCTGGGCAGCTCTCTGGGTGCTCAGCACCCCTAAACCTCTGATCCTAGAATCACCCCCATCTGTATGTAGGCTAACTTAGTTTGACACTTATCTTAAAACCTGTTAAGCCCGAAAGTCACTTTGAAAGGGACTTTGCAAGCACAGTGTGAAACAATACACTGATCACAAAGAATATAGTGATGTTGTACATCAAATTAAACAGCAGAACCTGGGCTACAAGGCTTCAAAAAACATTTTTACATGCCCCAAACACAGCTCAAACAACAACTAGATAAAAAACAACAAATCCAACTCCAAACAGCACCGATATCCCAACCCACTCTGTATATTTCGGGCTCTAACTCGACCACACATTATGCAAAACACACACCGTTCATCTCAAATGAAAGCTGAGACTGTTTCCACACATATGCGCCAAAGCAATCTACCCAAAAGCTTCAGAGAGCTAGAAGCCAAGAACAACAACAGAAATCTTTTCGCCAAAATATATTTGTAATATCTCTCTTACCTTGTTGTTTTTGCCGTGAAAAGCACATTCTGCTGTTACATCAAACTTCTTTTCACTGTGATCTTGTCCGTCATTCAAATGAATCCGGGCGGAAAAACTTGCCGGCTGGGGGAAGCATAACAGTAGCCGACATCGCCCCACAACACGCTCTGCTGACTCTGATTGGCTTACAGTGCTGTCAATCTCGTTTTGGTGGGTATAGCGTCATTATATTATTATATCANTATAGGCTCTAACGAATTAAACGAGGTGTTAATCACTCAAATCGGCCAAGCTGTCATACGGGCCTCCAAAGCTCAGAATAGAAACTCAGTTTCAAATGTAGTAGGTATGTATTGGTCAGTTTGGGGTGGGAAATAGAGGAAAAAAATGAAACGGACAGTTGTATGTGTATATCCTAAACATCATTAGGGATTTACAGAAACAAAAAATCGATAAAATCTTAATGCCAAAGCTACAAACAAATTGCCCCTCGTGGGATCAATAAAGTTGTTTCTATTCTATTCTATTCTATTCTATTCTGTTCTATTCTATGATACCCATCCCTAATGCAGACTGTTTTCATTTGGTGCAATATAAGTTTAAGATACTTAATTTTCCTTTGTCTTTTAGAGTACATCACAGCAGGACCCTGGTGCCCAATACCTCTCCACTACAGCCAGATTCCAGAATGTAGGATGCCAAATGGACCCTCCGGTGGCCACACAATCTGTGGCATCTCAAAAGATGGTAGTGATCAGTACACACCTGTACAGGGCTACTCTGACGGAGCAGCCTGAGAAGCAAAGGTATGTAACACAGAAATTATATGTGCTTTTGTGTTTGAGATACAGTACCTGGAAATATTTTACAGTACTGAAATGATGTTTCCCAAAAGCTTCAGAATATTTTTGCATCACGTTATCATATGCTGTTTACTTTGTACTTTGTAATGATGTTAGAGTAAGAGAAAATAAATAAATTATATATATATATATATATATATATATATGGACTTTCAGCTGTCATCAACACCTATAAAAGGCATAGGTTTCAAATCAAGTACAAGACCTTGTGTTTAGTTGGAGGAGAAAGAGGGAGCAACTTAAACAGAGCTAGTAGTACCTCATGACTCAACATGTAACCTTGGCAACTCTGTTATTACTGAGGAATCTGAGTAAAAATGTGTGCTTTTACTTTAGTTTTACCCTCAGCAAAGGCTGTAAAAACAGACCCTACATGCAGTAATTTGTAATAATTTTATTTTTATTATCCACATAACATCAGATAAAAAATATAAAATAGTTGTGGCAACACTTGAAATATATACAAGAAAGGTGGATTCAAGGAAACACTTAATTTTACCCAATCTCACAGAAATATGTGAAATAACCACAACCTCTTAACACCGCATTCCGTGGTGGCGGCGGCAGGTAATGGGTTAAAATTACGTACCTGTACCATGGAAACAATGCCAATGTAAAGTCAGGATCCTTTGCCGTGGTGGACACACGAGTGTGTGTGTGTGTGTGTGTGGGGGGGTGTGTGTGTGTGTGTGTGTGTGCATCAAATCTTGTACCATGACAATATAAACAGGATGAAGATGGGATGATCAAACTGGACTTTACATTACACATCCCACATTTAATCTCTGCACTTGTCACTTTCATATTATTTCATCAAACTTGACTTAAGTTTGTGCAATTCATTTAACTTCCATGGTTACATAATTAAATTATTTATGCGCATTGTTGCTCTTGTCATCGTCATATATTTCATACACTTAATTTCTTTGTCCATAGCACAGACCATATTTCCTTTGTACAGTCAAAATTTCATTTCACGTTTTATATACCATTTCCGGACAATTAGGCTACTATTCCACTCTGTAAATAGATTTTAAAATGTCAATATAATTTTAATATTATTTTTGCTTATTTCATTATTGTTATTATTGGTTTACTTTTTTCTATTTTTATTCTTCTGTGCACCAAGACACATTGGGCCTCATTCACCAGTATCTTCTTAAGAATGGGACTCATTCACCAATATCTTTTTAAGAATTAAATTAAATTGATGAATCCCATCTCCTCGTAAACTGAGAGCGCGTGCCAGGTGAGCCTAATTAACATAGGATTAGCATAGGTATCCACCCATCAATGCCCATAAAAGGGCATGAGACTGCAGGGCCGTGAGCAGACACAGATGTCATACAAAGGAAACAGCAAAAACAAAATGCCCAAAGCAAAAAGTAAATCAATTGGAGCACAGCAGGTAAAGACAAAAAAAAAAAACTTTGGTAGTTCACTGGTGAAGGTACTGCTGCAGGAAATCAGCCGCAGGAAAAAAAATTATATTTAGTAGCCTTAGGTGCAGGTTACACTAACAAAAAGGAAGCATGGGAGGCTGTCACACATGCAGTGAACGCAGTATCTGGAGAAGGACGCACAACAGAGGAGGTGAAAAAGAAATGGTTTGATCTCAAATCCTACACCAAAAAAAAACATTGCAAAATTCTGACGGGAGATGCAACGGACTGGAGGGGGAACAGCAGACACCCAAAACCTGTCTGAGTTGGACCAGCGCAGCGGGGCCACCACTGGGGAGACGGCACTCTCAGGTAGGCTATGGGAAAAATCTAAATCACTTTTTTTATTTAATTAATAGTTTAATTTCCCCACCCTACTTTTTAGGAGAAGTATCAACTGAGTGTCTGGATACAGACCTGGGGCCTCATTTATCAACCGTGCGTAAGCACAGATGTGTGCGTAATGAGTGCATAGAAACATTCCCACGCATAGTATGGAATTTATCAACTTGCACTTGTGCTTAGGAGCATGTGTAAATTTAAGCACAACTTTGACAATGCTTGCGTACAGAATCTAGTGGTAGAATAGTGAAATGACAAATAGAACTCATTAAAAAGTGGCAATCTCAAACTTCACACATGTTCCCTGTTTCCTCTAATTAAAAATGATCAATTAGTAATTTAGCAGACACTTTGAGTAATTAGTGTGACAAGCTATAAAAGACAGTTGTGACAGGACAACCTGAAGAGAAAACTTGGCAATATGGCACATCTTGCACTATTGGAGGATTTGGAGAACCATGCGCTCCCCAGGGAGGGCATTTTCAAAGAGCATGCTGATATTTTGAGTGAGAGCACCGAGTGGCTGCTCTCGCTCCAACATGGGTTAAATCACAGCATAAATCCAGCAGAATGTTTTTGGGGAAACAGTACCTGCTGAGCAGCCACTCGGTGCTGCTCAACGCACCAAAGCCCTCCCAGTGCACACCCAGCTCCTGTCCACCCTGGGATTTTTAGCCACCGGAACATTTTAGCGTGAGGTTGGAGACATATGCGGCATTCCCCAGCCAATGCTGAGCAGAAATCATCTCTCTGGCCCCAGCCTACATCCAGTTCCCATATGGTCATCATCAACAAGTCGACATTAAACGAAGATTTCACGCCATCGCCGGATTCCCAAATATAATTGGAGCCATAGATTGCACCCACATTGCAATAAAAGCACCATCACACAATGAATTCAGTTACGTGAACAGGAAAGGATTTCGACTGGAGGCTTCCGGTCGACCACGTCATGGAGTAGACGTCCCTCCACCACGCTCCCACACATCTATTTAAATGTTAACATTTTCAGCCTGCCCTCGGGCACCATATACAGATCGATCAGTCTAGTAACCCCTAAAGCTCAACTGCTGTCCGGATATGCTCCTGAAGTCCGGTAAAAACCTAAAAAAAGATGATGCGGACAAAAACCGTCAGCAGCCCTACATTGTAGATATGGACGCCATCACTGACATGCTGGTGAAGCACAAAGAAGCTCTGTCCTCTGAATTCAGAGCTGCATTCTCTACTCTCGAGAAGAAACTGGACTTGATTAACTCCAAGGTAGAGGACCATGAGCAACAGGTTATGTCCCTCGAGTCAACAGCCAATTCAACCAGTGATCGCATTGTGGAGCTGGAGAAGACATGCGCTGCCCTGGCCAGCGACAACGCTAAGCTAAAGGCTAAGACCTTGGACCTGGAGGGACGCAGTAGCAGGAACAACGCTCGCATTATAGGCTTACCTGAGTCAATCGAAGGGCCTTGGCCCACTGAGTTCCTCCCGGGTTTCCTGGTCGAGGTTATGGGCAATTAGGTCCTCTCTTCCCCGCCAGAGCTGGAGCGCTTGCACCGGGTCTCCTCAGCAACAGCCAAGTCCCGGGGTAAGCCAAGAGCAATTATTGTTTGTTTCCACAAGTTCCAGACCCGAGACTGGGTGGTCCGCGAAGCCCGCAGGATGAGGGGGAAACTCAATTACCGAGGCTCTCCAATAGAAATATATGAAGACTATTCTCCTGAAGTTCTGGACCAGCGCCGGGAGTACCGCGACGTCATGTCGGACCTCTATAACCTCGGTTTCCAACTTGCTCTTCGTTACCCCTCGAGGCCTTTCATCAAAACCGAGACGGAGGGCATGAAACAGCTGTTCACTCCACAGGAGGCTCGTCAGGTCGTGTCATCGGCCCGCTGTCGATCAACGGAGTCTGCGGCAACTCAGTGACCGTGAGTACGGTTACTACATAGCCTCCAGTCACTCTGCATTGGCTGTCGCCCGCTCCTCTTAGCAGACACTTAACGTCATACGATCACCCTAAACTATTTTTTTTCCTTCTTCTTCCTTTTTTGACTTGGTGGCTCACAGAGAAACTGCTACGTGGACTTTAATAGCCCCGCATCCTGTTTATTATTGTCTCTATTATCATTATCATTCTCACTTTATTAGCCTATAATTGTTATCTACTACTCTATTCGTAATCGGGGCCCCTGCAAATATGTTGTGGTATGAGCTACAACGGGGACTTTTACTTTAATCTTGTACTATTCTGGCAGTAATGATGTCTGCAGCTTTCACAAAGATGTTCCAATTAGCTTCAACCATAAGAGGAAGGGAAGATGTATTTGAGTTGGTCTTTTTTAACACTACACGTGTGCATATTTGATTTATTGATGTTTATCCTATAACGCTTTATTTGGTTATACAGCCTACTCTTATATTGAGTGCTTTATTGGACAGGGGGTAGGAGCTTTGGAC